AGCCATGTTGCCTGGGGTCAATAAGTTTGTTTTCATCTAGAAATGTTGATAAGTGCTTAAACATAACATGTTCCAATATTTTTGCGCATGTACACAAGAGGGTGATAGGTCTATATGAAGTAACCAAATGTGGAGTGTTCGATTTAGGTATAGGCGTAATTTTACCGTATTTTTAGTCTTCTGGGATCTTAGATTGGGATAAGGATTTGTTAAATATAAGATGCAGATAATGTGAGCTCCATTCAGCGTACCTCACCAAGAAGTGGTTATCAATACAGTCTATTCTGGGTGTTTTCTTACGATCAATTTGAAGCAAAAGAGAAAGGACACCTTCCTGGGATATCGAAATGTTGCTTATTGGGGGAATGTTCTCGAACTGATTGACTGAAGGTGTAATAGTGTCATCTTTCGTGAATACTGAACAGAAGAAGTCGTTAAAAGACGTTGCAATGGTGAGTTGGTCAGTGACGGTTTCCCCGTTAACTACAATATTAGTAATTGACTTCTTATGTGAGGAAAAATAGCGCCAAAATTTTTGCTAGCATACTTTCCATTTTGCCAGCATGCCAGCATACTTTCGTATTCGCTCTTATATAAGCTTGATACTACAAAGTTAGCTTTTGTGAAAAGAAGCAACCACTGGGTATACCGCCACATGTGTAGATCGATCCGTGGCATCGATTTCCGCTTACCGGTTTTCCTGTCCACGCGGTGAGCTTTCTTAGTTGCGACAAGCAGAAACTTCAGCCATAAACTTAACATTTTATATATTGCTGTTCAAAGTTTTATGCAAAACTGTGCGGTAACCTGACGTAGTGAGTGGTACGTGTTCTAGCTTTTAATATTTGTTTTGATTTTCTGTATTTCTTTCACAGCATCAGTGGATTAACGCTATCAGCGTTCTCTTTTGAAGGGAGCAGTGACATGTGCGCCACCAAGCTCAGAAAAAGCAGGATTTTTTAGCCTTCTTCTTAGCTGAACAGGGCTGCTCAAAATTATTAGAATGAAATACCGAGGTGTACCAAATTTTGAACTACCGATCATGGTGGTCTAGCAGTTACGGTGCCTGACTGCTGAACCGCAGGTGACGTGATAGAATCTCGGCTGAGGCGGCCGCATTTTCGATGGAGGCAAAAGCGCTTGAGGACCACGTTCTTCGATTCAGGGGCACGTTAAAGAACACCAGATGGTCTGAATTTTCGTACCCCTCATTACGGCATCTCTCACAATCATGTGGGGCTTTACAATACAAACGTTCGGTTTAGTCATACAATGCATAAACACAAAGCGCTGTCCTAAATTATTGGTATGTTTTACATGACTCTCTGAATAACATGTAAATAATGTAAAGAATAGGCGATGAAAACTTCTAACCAATCCGCATGCTCTTGTTCGCATTGTGGGAATGCGCGCACGAATGAAATATGTGGTGCACGTTCATAAAATTACAACTCGCAAAAGTGGACACTTAGCGTTTACTCTTACTTGGTGCCTGTTGTGATGCGTTAACCTCGCTTCATGTGCCGTTAGACATTCTTCATCAGAATAAGTGGTATATGAGACAATCGATCCACAAAGCAGTCCAGGACAACTTGTAACAAATAGGTGGCGCGCCAGCTGTTAGATTTTACTGCTGCCTGGCCTTTTTTTTTGTAGAGAAAAGCAATGGAAGTTTCACTAACGTGCACGGCAATGTCTCACCGCTACACGTATTGCGCATAGGGTTACATTGACTTGTAGAAAGGAAACTGTTTTATCAGGAAGAATTTGCTGGAGACTGAGAAATATGGCTTATGTACTGTGTAACCCAGTTACGTCATGACTGTACACAAGTAAGTTTGAATGGAAAAAGAGATAAAATGAACAGCATTAGGACGGAATTCCGCTGTGATAACCATAGACAGGACTATCACACGTACAGGCTGTGTCAGCTATTTGTCATATATATTGCGATGCCTATTTTACATAGCAATCGCATTGTAGTTACAGAGCCAAGCATCGTGCCGGTTACTTCTCCAGCGGCGACAGCTTGGAAATGCTTTTTATGCTGATGTGTGGCAAAGCTAATTAAGCCGGATGTATCTTATATGGGAGTCAAAATTGTGTGGCTCCAGCAAATAATAAATGAGTACGAGCCTCAATTCTTCTTCAGGCTCTTAGCTGATAATGATTAATTTGAAGTTGAAGTAGTGCTACAAGATAGAAATCACGACGCAAGGGCAAATCATTCATGAAGGAAAGTGCATCGTGTAGATGCTATTGGTGCACAACTTTTCCTGTACCACTCGGCTTACATTCACAATACAAGAAGGACATAATAAATAAAAAATTATGCAGTCAACTATAAGCAATTTCATGTCCGACGAGCGCCAAATTGCAGGGGATAAGTGTCACCGAATGTGTCACTTAGTTTATAGTTGCAGCCAAGTATACGGGCTCACTTTAAAGCTGCTTTGTTATTTCTGTGTTTTTCTCATCAAATCTGATTAAAGAGACGTTAGTGCGCAGGAATTGCTCTACCAATATGCTTTGAATGGAGATTTGCGTGCGCGAAATTCACACTGCATTTCGTATTGAATATGGATAGTGAGCCTCATTTTATATATGTGCTTAGTAACTTGTAAAGAATATTGGCCAAGTATTGTCGCAATGTGGGATTTCGCTTTGTGTATGTGCGAATAATGTTTTTTTTTCTATGCTGCCTATACAGCAGCTTCGTTTGCTCCGGAAACGTCCTGTGGGGCAAGTGTACTTAACTTACAGACCAGTTATTACCCGTGGGTGAAGCAAACACAGGAGCTGCGGGATGTGTTATGGCCAGTTACGGCAGGGATAATTGAGAGTAATAGCTTAGTGGCTGAGCGGCCAGCGGAGGAGCGGAGGGGCCAGTGGAGCGCAAGAGCAATGGAAGAAAATAAGCCAAAATAATGTTCGGCATGGTTTAAAGGAACATTGATACACGCCTACTCCCTCTGCAGGGTAATATACCAGCCTTGCCAAACTGGTTAACATTTCTGCCTTTCGCTCTTTCTCGTTTTCGTTCCTTTCGTCGAGGTGCACCAAGATTTCCCTGACGTACTTTTCTTACATATATGACGTTGGGAAAAAGAAAACTAACGGGCGACAAAGGAATGTTAGACAGAAAAGTGTAGTTGATGGGAATCAAATTAAAATTGAACCCAGACACTCTTGGTCCATGAAGCTTGGTGCCGTGCGTTTTCAAAACTGTGCTACTGACGCACAGAAGCGAGGCTCGACAAACGCTCCTTGTATTTCCCAAATACTTCTTCGCATGATGCTCTTGATTGCCGGGTACGGTTTCAGTCTCTGGGATCAGGGAAGAATGATAGTGGCTCATGACACTAATAGGCGCCGACAGGGAGGAATTCGGTGACGCGCAGTTCGGCTGGATCATCGCCATCGATGGAACGCTGGCTTCGCTGGCATATAGTTAGCACCCTACAAACAGTTGGGTTATTTTCTAGTTGTATATGATGTTAGCGTTTGACGGCTTGTTGTTAGAGTAGGGCAGTTTTCACACCCACAAGTGATATATATCCCCATCTTGCTGTTTGGATTGTAATAGCACTGACCGCTAAAACTGATTCCATGAATGCCGCAGAAAAATACCGACATTTACATTGGCAAATGTCCGCCTATAGGGTGCGACCTATGTACTCTGCTGTCGCCATAATGTCGACGTTCTTTCTGAATTGTTTATGCAGTGTGCATCTTGAGAAGCTGTACGTAGTGGCAGCGCCAGACTTCTTTTTTCTGCGTTTGACTGTAGTGATTGTCGTCAGTGTTGTGGGGAACAGTAGGTTTTTCAATTTAACAGTATCCACAGTGTTAAAAAACTAGCGGAGAAGTGAACAGTAATCACAGGCAATCAATTCGGTGCATTTGGAGATTTCAAGGGGAAAAGCAGGGATCTGCGCGCGATGTTTTGTACTCGTGCTGCACGGCACTAGAATAATCACACCTTTACCTCTCGAAAAAACGTAAAGAAAAGTCCGCACCGTCAAACGCACCAAATTTGTGTAAAGGAAAGATAACTTAAGATGTGTTGGTTAGCAAACTGTTCTCTATGTCTAGTGTTTGGGTTATTTTTGTTGAATACAGCCACAAATTTTTTTTACACACTGAAGCTGTGCCCTGTTCTAAATAGCTTGACGTAGAGTACAGATTATTTATTGTTTTTATGCAGTCAGATTCGAATATATATCACTTCCTAACACCGAGAGAACAGCCATATTTTCTTTAACGAAAAACAAGGTTTTTGTATAACCGCATTTCAATAAACGGTTTAAAAGATGCACCGTGGCTTAAGGCCACACTACACAACCATAAGAAATAAAGAGGTGGTCGTGCAGTTCAAGAACTGGTTGCTGAAAAATTTTCATCTCTGTCTGTATTTGCGATAACCAATGACTGAGGAGCTTTCATCTCGTTGAGCAGAAACTTATTTCATGGTGGAGTGCACCATGACCTTGCCCAACACCACCTAGAAAACTCAAGGCCCCCACACGGCGCCGTGACGTCACGCAAGTAGGATCGTTCTGGAAGTTGGCTTCACCTCACCCGTTCGCTCCGCAAAGCGGCAGGTTGCGACAAAAGTAAAATTCGCTCGCGTTACGCACAGAAGCTAACTAGAATGCCGCGTCCACAATTACGCACGCAGCTTGAGCGGGAAAAATCGCTACAGATGGTAGCCTCGCTTCTTAAGGAGGCATTCTGCTAATTTGATTATACATGAGTTTTCTAAATGATTGGAAGAGACTTACCTAAATTTCAATCGTCAATGCAGATATCAGGTAATAACTTTCAACCCTGCTGTGGTTCCAATAATACATTTAATACATCCGGATGTTACTTCCTAGAGTTTCAAAAGCTCTAACAGGTATGCTGGAAAAATGGCAAAATTTGACGTTACATGAAAACAAAGTGTCAGCAGCTGAAAGTGGAAGAAACATGTTCGTGTTCAAAGAGAAAATGACTCATTTCTGCTCAGTAGTAATATTTGTTTATTATATGCAGCATAACAGTCAGCATAAAAGTGCATGTGTGGCTCAGCGTCTGGAAGTTGCTGTAGTAACTTTTCTGGAAATGCACTTTATGCTTTGGCACGAATTGCTGCTTCAAGCATGCGGAACACATATGTGCACAATTTCCGTACAGAACAGAAAGAACAAGATTGACAAGATTGGCAGCCTTCTCACAAATGGTAGGATGCAGATCATTTCACTTGACAACGATAAATAAAAAAGCAGTTCATTTACAAAGAATACTGTTGAAACAAAAGTGCATAAGGACACTTCAATTTTTAACAGTTTCAAGTTTTCGCTTTGCCTTTGTTGCAGGCAACTTGTCATTTGATGTTTTTGCCTTTGTGGCAGACATCTTGTCGTTAGCCGTTTTGCACAAGTTGTTTAGGAGGGTGTTTGCTGCTGCACTTAAAATGTAATGCATGACCTGTTGAGGAGCATGCCCATCAACACAAACATCCAGGTCATCATTATCACTGAGGATGTCATACACAAGGGCCACTAACACTTCTTTCTGTTTAGGAAGAGCAAAGAACTGAGTTGCAAAGCGTGGACTCCTAAGCTTATCGAGCACTATTTCCATGGTAAGCACAGCATTTATAACAAGTTCACGTGGGAACTTCAGCCCACCCCTTGTCATGCTCATAATGAGGACATTTTTAGCAGTGTCTATCTCTGCAACATCCATTACTAGGTTTTCTTTGCATGATTGGCACAACAGTTTCTTTAGAGCTGCGTGAGCACAGTAACCTGCAACATATGTCACAGCGGGCAGCCTTGTCACTTTGTTCTCAATATCACTGTCATTAACTGTGATGTCAAACTGGCTTAGCAGTGAGCTGGCACTAATGACAGGAATATCGCACACCATGTCAACGTCTGGCAGCTCGAGCACTTTCTGTAACCGCAGCTTTGTCTCAGACTCATATATCTGTCTAATTGACACATGATAGTTGGCCCCAGACAACTGACGGTAACGACCAAAGCGATCCTCGAGACAATCTGTTTGAAACTTGCCTAGCAAAACATATTGCATACCAAGCTCTTTGAGGCAGTAAATAGTAATCTCGTGGAGCGCGTGAGTTGTATGACAGAAAGCTGAGTGCGTTTCCCTCGTCAAATGTCCTGCATCGTGCTTCAAACTTTCCCAGTAGTCTAGCCACTGCATTGTTTTCTCCAAATGCTGTAACTGGAGGCAAGATGTTGAGGTTATAGGCTTTTGCAGGTCATCTGAAAGCCTCTGGCCCTTTCGTGGTGTCTTTACATTAACAATATTCCACCATGTTAGCAGCGTGTTTATGTACAAAGCTGTACTGTCAGCGTGCTGAAGGTTGCTATTGTGAAGTGCTGCCACAGTTGATGAATTAAAGATTCTCAATGCCAACTTTACATCTTGTCTCTCCATGTTAGAAGGATTTAATGCCTTTAATGACAATGTCGGAGCCATCTTCAAGAGCTCACTTTGTTCAGACTCATGCAGCTCACATAAAGTCTTGAACGATGCGGTTAAAATCTTGGGTTTGGCTTCTGTACTCTTTGGATCTGGGAAATACATGCACCTTCCTGCATTGCGCTGATTTAACCAGTTATTTCTGATACATTTCAATAAGTGGACAGGGTCCACGACAAAAAACAAAGGTCGCGATTGGTCAGCTGGATGTTTATAAACTATCTGTAGTCTTGGAGGGCTTGAAAACAACGACATTGTTTTCCTGTTGATAGAATTGTTGTCAGAGATGATAGCAATCACTTTAAACCCATTATGCTCGAGCTTTAAAACTAGCATTCGCAAAAAATCATGCAAGCATTTTGCATCAATTGTAGCGACTGGCAAAATATGCACAACATCTTTGTGATTAGAAAGCAGACTCTGGGTCATAAAGACATATGCTGTTTTAGCCGGGCTTGCAGTGTTGGCTGCTGCACCTGTTATTGACCCAGCTTTGAAATCAAAGTATGACTGAATGTGAATTTCATCCATCATTAAAGTTACTATCTTTTCATGTTCTTTCATTGTAGTAGCAACCTTTTTAGCATATGACAAAAAATAAGAGTCTTGCTGCTCCATGGCTGGGCTTATTTGTTGAGTGGTGCAGAGACGTCTTATTGTTTCAGGATGAGGCAACTTTACCTTCAGTGAACCTATAAGGAATCTGTATGCATGCGGCGAAATGGTGTAGAGGAGACTTGCAAATACTAACAGGTCTGGCGGGTAGCGCGCTGCATTATTAAGGATGAGCTGCACTTGGGATTTTATAAACTTCACAATTTCCAGGGGCCATCCATGAAGCTTATGTTGCTGATCATTGCATATGAGCTCCTCCAACAGTGCCATCACAGTCGCAAGTAGTTGACGAGCCCACTGAAAATTGTTGGAAGAATGAGGAGTGCGCAGACACTCAACATGATGAAGGATGTCACTTAGTTGCCGCAAGTCCTGTAACTGAGCAGGCACACTTACACCATCAAGCACCACTACGCGCGTTTCACCAAAGTACACTTCCACACACATGCTGTCTTGAACTATCACCGATGAACGCACAGAGGCACCCCGATCAACAGTCAAATCCAGGAATAGAACCTTTGAGTCCATGCTGACCACAGACCAAAACGGTGAGGTGTTAAAGCTTGGCAGAGCACGAAGAAATTCTGAAAAGCTTGTAACTTTGTTCTGCTTGTCTTGTTGTTGCTTTTCTTCCAGAGATTTTTCAATGGCAATGCGGAGTGATTCGTCCTCAAAACGTTTTCGTTTCTCCTCTGGTGCCTCCCGAGTACACGCATTTTGACGAGAGAGGTATTGAGGACAATTCGGGAACACACTTGGTACCGCATCAGGCTTCAGCCGGAAGACTTTCAGTGGCACTTCAATAGTCTTCCCCGTCTTCACATCAGTGTACTTTGACGTTTTCACGTAGTCGCTGGACACGAAATGCTTCTCGCAGAGCTGAAAAGACAAAAAAAAAAAAGGATTATGTGGGACCACGTTTTATACACTGTCGAAAGCGAGACGGTTCTTTTCGACTTTTGATGAAACCAAAATATGAGCACGTTTCAGGCTCCGACCATTCAGCCAGGCCGATTAGGCTGGTGATCGATACGCTCAGCCGCTAAAACGCGCATTGCGTAAAAGTTTTTTTAGCTTCTCCATGGTGGATGGATGCTATGAGCGTCCCCTGTGTAACGGGGCGGTGACATGTGCGCCACCAGGCTCATAAAAAAAATTAAGAACTTTTCATTTTTTTTCCCTCTCTTTAAGTTGTCCTCATGCCTTTTAAATCTACTTCAATTAAATCGATTATGGCAGAAACGTAAATTCACAGCCCAGTCTGCCCCTTATGGGAGAAAGTCGTTATTTTTCCCTATAATTATTATTACGGTATACCTTGGACATCTTGCGACGCTTCGTGCAACCACAATTATAGACACGTTTGTTTGTTTTCGCGTGGTTTCCTTCAGGAAAAAGATATAAAGGTCAGCTCAATCGATAATAGGCGGCCGCCGCGAATTTACCCGTTAGGGAAATGGAATGCAGTAGATTGCTGCAAAAACAATGCTAAGCTTGCCTGGTTCATCTTGACCCCGCTAGATGACCACACATATTTAACATTCCACGTTTAGGGCCATGGTACCCGGTATAACGCTAATGCAAAGCAGTTTGCGGAGACACTCTCTAATGACAAGCACTGTATCGAATTATAAGCCGTATCTTACCACTGTGTTCTTTGTAGGCGCAAAATCCTTTCGGGGAACCGCTCTTGTCCATGCCGCCCGCCGCACCGGGTCGTTTGGAAACACGTGCACGCGCACGTTTGGCTGTCCTGCGTAGTTCGACCTGCAGTTCGGAGCGCTACAGCAGCCGGGCATTTCTGCACTTCGTTCACACGCACAACCACAGCGAGGAATCGGAAATATACATCTTGCAGGAGTAAACAAAGCACATGCACGCGCGCAAGCCAACCAACGACATCCGAATGCAAGCGAGAGGACGACCCCAACTGCTCCAACGAGCAACTTGGATCATTGTGGTCAGCATAGGTGAAACGAAATTCGACGGAGACGCATGGTAATGCGGCTGCTTAATAATGTTTTACCAATTCGGCGTGCCATTTTTTCAGAATACAGTTGGCTAATTGAAACAGAGTAGTTAAATTCTGCAACTTTTGGCAATGTTTGAGCCCGAATCACTGCAAAAACTAAAAAAAGAATGAGTTATTTTGGTTCTAGTCAGTCACTGCGGATGTCACTACGAGCCATCTGTAGCTGTTCTTGTCCGGACTTGTCAGCCTGCTTGTTCACGTGACGCAGACGTTGGCGAGGCTGACTGGGCTGTCGCGCCGTCGGTCCCAGCCAACAGGTGGCGTTGCCCCAGCCATCCGAGCGATGATCTGAGCTTGGTGACGTAGGCGCTTGGGCGAGGAGGCGGCGAGGGGGCCTTAAGTCTTCTAGGTGGTGTTGCCTTGCCACGCATTTCCGTCACGGATATATGTCAGTAAAATAGCTGGCAGAGAAAAAGAAGTTTCGTTGGTTGGAATGACAACGGAGCCGAACTCTCGACCTCTCGGTACACGTCCGTAGGTGGCTAGCGCTCTATCGATCGCACCACTTACACACGAATGCAGATTCACAAACGCACCTATATATCTATAAAGGGTGAATTCTTAGTGACATTGGCGTGCAGAAGGCAGTATTGCCATCCTAGATAGGTGAAAGAATCACTTCATGACCGCGGTCATCAAGATTAGGTCTGGCGACGCGCTTTTGATTGCCGCTCATCCTATGTGAAATCAGGAGTGGGCAAGAGGGGAGACATCCCATAACGTATCCTAAAGAGCACCGACACTGACCCCTTCAGCAGTTTCACCTTTCCTTGCTGCGGAAAGAAGAGTGCCTTCCCGAATTCCTGTTTTAAGCTGTGAACTGTACCTCTTTGATTTTCAGACGTTAGTTACTGCATTTCTGAATAGCCAACGCCTTTGCTGTTTTCCCGTTTAAACAGTGATTTGATTGAGTGTTTATGAAGAACCTGTGTTATGTGACTGCTACTGTTATCTTTTTGTAGGGTTCAGATTATGTGTCTGGCAAAATGTTACCTTTTAAAGCTATCAAAAGAGCTAAATAATGATCTGGCGTCGCGATGAACATGTGCCACAAAGGGTAAACGCGGTTGCATCTAATTTAGGCGGCGCTATAACTTCCAAACACAAATAAACATTGTGCAAGCTTTTTTACATCAATGCGCTGTAAATAATAAACTAAAGTCTTGTGTAGACATGATTCCCTTTCGTCATATACCGTTTCCTCGGACTGAGCGCTAAATAATGTTCATTTAATTATTTCTTGGACAACGACCGCGTTGTGACCAATGCTTGAAACATGCACAAGATTCCGCAAATTTGTTGTCTGTATTAGGTCAATTAATTTGCACGGAGACTTCTCTCTAAATAGATTGTTGAAGGGGTTATCACGAAGCAGCCTTGTGAAAGATGCACACAGACTCTTTTTCTTTTTCGTGCGTTATGTGAGTTTCCACAATGAGACCTATGTCACAAGGAACAAAGTTGTGAATATATTCGTGGATATGCATACCATGCAGTTTCATTTCGAGCTCTAATAATCCTGACTTTGAAAGTAGATAACTTAGTGCGTAATATATCTTATTTAGAAATAAGTTATTCAAAAGCTTTTACAGGAAGTGTAAAAAGTGAGCTGCTATAGTTTGAAATTTAGAAATTCAAGCAAAAACCTTGCAGGTAAGCAGGACATGATTGATTGATTTGTGGGGTATAACGTCCCAAAACTACCATATGATTATGAGATACGCCGTAGTGGAGGTCACTGGAAATTTCAACCACCTGGATTTCTTTAACGCGTGCCCAAATCTGAGCAAACAGGCCTACAACATTTCCGCCTCCATCGGAAATGCAGCCGCTGCAGCCAGAATTTGATCCCGCGACCTGCGGGTCAGCAGCCGAGTACCTTAGCACTAGACCACCACGGCGGGGTAAGCTGGACATGTCGGCAACGTTTAATAGACTATAAAAAATTGAGAAAGCAATAATAACTCTACTTAATAAAAGGCAAAGCAAAAGATACAACAAAACTTTCAGCGAAAAATTCGAAGCGCTATGAAATGTACGACATGAAACATTTTGATAGGAACTGCTGCTTTCGAAAGTGCAGGTCATTTAGCCGACAAGACAACACAAAATAAACATTTCAACAGTGCCCAAAATAAACACATTACGTTTGCGACAGGGTTAGGTGATAAAAATACTACTTTTCTGCTGAGCGCTTTATTTATTTTTATTTCTTACTGTGCTGCGGTGATTTACGACCGCCATGTTCTCTTCGGTGGTGTTATTGCTCTGCTTCCATAAGGCTTCATCCCATCGACGAAGCGGGACGCGTGAAACAGAGAAGCGTAAAGAGAGTCATTTGTAACGACGGCTCTTCTTCACTCTTTCTTCTTGTTTTGTCATCATTCGCTTTCTCATTTTTTATGCTCCTGTAACTTTTTTTGTTGCTTCAGTGCTACATATATAGGGACAGTGAATGCTTACTGTATGGTTAATACACTTTTTTTGGTGACATATTGCTTTCTCAAAACAGAGGTCTACCTCAGCATCAGGCTACCGTCACTTTCTCGGTGCAAAAGGCACAATTTAGGGCACATTCAAAAGATGAAGAGAGAGAATTATCAAGTGAGAAACAGGAAGGGTTAACAAAAATCTTCAGTTCGCTCTCCTCTACAAACGAAAGAATAAAGTGGGAGAAAACTTCATGGAAGTAAAATGAAGAGAAATGTACAACAACTCGGTTAAGCCTGAGCGTGCAAATTGAGAAGTAAGCTTAATCCTATTTGACAAATTTAGTTCAATCAGCAAGAGCTTTTCGGACGTAGCCTGCCTTATCCTATGTCTGGCAGGATGCGTTAGCAGAGCTGCTGTGGACTCCTAACTAAATCTGTCTATTGTTTAGCTTCGTTCTTTATATGGTTGTACTTCCTAAGGCGGTTGCTTTTCCTCCGTGTCGTTGGACAATTGGCTCTTCTTGATTTCATTCAAACGACGAAATATCGCTTATTTAGGTCTTTCAGACTCACTTTTCACATCTGCCAATATATTTCACCGAGCTTCTCTTCCTACAAACGTGATTATACACTGGCTCATCCTCTGTTGAGTTTAAAAATCGCAACTGAACGTGGACACAACAGAACACACACACACACACACACACACACACACACACACACACACACACTCACACACACGCACGCACGCACGCACACACACACACGCACGCACGCACACACACACACGCACACACACACACGCACGCACACACACACACACACACACACACACACACACACACACACACACACGCACACACACACACACGCGCGTGTCTGACTTTCAACTAGAAACGCGCTTGCGGTGCCGTTCCACAAAGTAGAACACACATAAACAAGATGCCCACTTTCAACTGTAAACACTGTGTACGTGGTTTCTCTGGCTCCTTCTGTGACGTCAACCCAGATGATGCTGTGAGTGGTGCGGCTATCGCCCATTGCGTAACAGCGGAAATAAGGCTATTGTATCTCTCAGCAAAAACGCCTACGGGTATTATGGGTATAATGCTCCATTTAAGATAACTCCATTTCTCATTTGTAATTCTGGATGTTATGAACAGGGCTTCCGTTCATAGTGTGCTGACTAAATGGAATTCTCTACCCAACTACATCTACAGTGATTATTCAGATTCCATAAAACTGAGGCAGTACGCCGCCATGCGCGGTCGTTCACTTTGAGATAGAGACCCTCGTGTAACGAAATAAGCAGTTCGGTCTATGGCCACGTCTTTTCCTGACCTCCAAGATTTTATCCTTTTGGCTAGCTATGATAAACGCTCTGATGTTTTTGTAGCAATGCCAACTTAGGAAGCATATGGTCTGTGTGGTAAAGTAGGTTAGGGCCTGTGGAATAGGCGATAGAATGTGGGACATAGCTTGTGGGATATAGCTTGTAGCCCGGTGTATATGGGAACAGTATGCAGGCTTAGGTTAGTTCACTGAGAAAACAATGTATAAACTTGGCGCTTAATAAAGCGGTTCTACACACGTGTTGTTCGTTTTTGGTGATGCACAAGTAATTATGAATGAAGAGAAACATAGTAACTATTTAGGCAAAGTCATAAAAAGAAAAGCGACACGTACTTTTACGATAGCATCATTTGGATAAAATTTAAAGTTAGGACTAAAGGCTGGTACCAGAGAGTGGTAAGAATTGCGTAAATAAATTACTCAATGCGAATTCAACAATGTGAAGAATATATTTAGGGAACAATACATAATCATAAAAACGGAAAGAGGAAATTATTATTTACTAGAAACAATTGCACAGTGTGGATTTTACTGTGTTTGAATATTGCGAATGAACATATTTATCCAAAACAACGCCTCACTTAGTATTTGCATGTTAGTTAATTGAAAGAAGGAATACCTGTTATCAATTGATCAAAATCAATGGCATCGCAATCACTGGCCGAGTAGTTTCATTGTTAGGTGAAGCGTTTCTCTAACTTCAAATTCAAGTTGAAAATTAGGCTGCTGCTTTATTCTCTAATGTAAAACATGCGAAACTTCAGTGAGGTCGTGAGAAGTATTGCTTGATAAAAGCAGCACCATAGGTAGTTTCAACGTAGAGAGACGAAAAAAAGAAGCAGACTGCACGTCAATAAGAGCTGCACAAGAATAAATTGCATCCACTCGTACACCAAACTTTTTGTGGAATGTGCGACAAGACCCCGATGGAAAAAAGAATGGGCAAGAGAATAGCTGCCATGACGGAGCACCGAAGACTCCGCGGTGGCCTAAAGTGGCTGCTAAACCACGTTCTGCTCAAATAGAGGGAAAGCGGTAATGCCATAGCAAAAAATAATGTAGTCACAAATTGTCCCCCTTCCTTTATACCACTATTTCATTCATTCAGAAAAGCTGGGCTGCGCCCACACAAGAATTTATCACGCTCGGTGCATAATTCGTGCCACTCCCCTGTCACTTACTGAGCCTCGCCTTTCATTAGCCTTTTCTTTAGCGCCTGGACGAGAGTGCTTCCCTTTTAAAAGACGCTTTTATTGTGTCGTGAGCAACTCTTTCTCCGCCACACTTCTCCCACACTCGCAAATCTGTCCCTGCAGCAAAATACCTACACCCACCGCCTTTGAAGTTGCCTGACCAGATCAAAAAATAAAGTAACAAAGAAGGAAAGTTTGCTAATTTGCACGGCAGTATAATAACGCCTGCAGTATGTGGACGCTCTTATAACGTGTATAACACAGAGCGCTTACTAGATCCGTACACGAAAGCGCATGAACAGCCTGTGCTTTCTGTGTGTTTGTGCGCGCATGCTTGTGTATATGTGTGTATGTATGTGCGTTGTCTACATTGGTC